CAGACACACCCACTCACTGACCGGCTTACACACTAAGATACACTGACATACATTCACTGGCAGACTCACATACTCACACACACTGATCTGACACAATCTGACAGACACGCAGGCACTGACGAACACACATTGACACATACATACACACTCCCAGGCACACACTGATAGACATACACACAGTCACTGACAGAAACATACATACTAACAGAAACACACATTCATTAACAGACACACAAATGCACACTCACTGACACACCTTGACATACATACACAAACTGAGACACCGACAAACTCCCTGATACACTCACTCAGACACACAAAGTGACACACACACGCGCTGACATACACACACATATTTCCCCCCAACATTTACAAATAATTATTTACTTTTATTTTAGTTTAAATCCACCCAGCCTCCCAACCTTTAGGAGAGCTGGGGGGATTTTTACCTGGGATCCAGTGGGGCTGCTGGGCAGACGTGCAGGATGGACAGGCAAGGGGGGGGGGAGAGGGTGCGCAAAATTTGGCGGCGAGGGAGCTGTGATCTTTCTGCTCAGCTCCCTTGCGTGCTGCTTAGTGATGGGGATGCCGGAGTGATGTCATATTCCAGCTCCTGGCATCACTACGGCTTGCGTGGAAGGGCTCACAGATCAGTGCTCCCTCGCCGCCAACCTGTAATAGAAACTGTCCGGGCGCCCTGGGGTTGGGGGGTCAAGGGTGGCCAGCTGGCAAACTCTTGGGCCCCCATAAGTCAAGGCTAACCAGGTATTTGACAAGGCACTTAGGGGGCTGCGTTTTATGCCGCCCCCTGGAAAGTGCCGCCCAAAGCAAATCCCTTGTTAGCCTTGCGCTAAATACAGCGATGCCATTGACCCTGCAATATAAAACGGTTTGTATTGCAGGGATAAGACTGCCTCTAGTGGCTGTCTACCAGACAGCCACATGATGTGCTTCCTGCTCTTTCACAGAGTTTGACTTTGTGAAACGATATTGGACCATGTCCAGTGTGTTGAAAAACTCCATAGGAATACAGATTCAATGCTGTCCTGTGGGGAAGGCCTAATGCGCACACGACATCTGCCGCGCATATGCATTAGGTTTTACAGGTTGGCGGTGGAGGAGCTTGATCCAATGCCGAAGGATATTAGCACAGGAATCCGGTAAGTGGGGTAAAAAAATTGTCTTTAACCCCTTATTTGCAAGCAGGGTCGTCTCGGGGGGAGTGACCCTATAGTTTTAGGAATACAGTTTTGTTTTCCAACACTATAGTGTTCCTTTAATAACAAACCAATGCTAAATATTTGCCATCCCTCTTTAAATTTTTTTTTTTTTAGGGGAAATGCCCACACGATCCATGGGATGAGAGCACCATTGAGCTTTTCCTGCAAGAGCTTGCCATCATGGACAGCAATAATTTTCTTTCTAACTGTGGTGTTGGAGAGCGAGAGGGAAGAGTCGCATCTAGCATGGTTTCCCGTCGGAATTATCGGTATTGTTCAACTAAAGCTTTGATGCCCGGGGTGGGGGTTGGGGGGGTGGTGTGTGGGGGTGGGGGTTGGGGGGGTGGTGGTGGTGGTATCAGTAGTAATTGTTAAAGTTATAAGAAATGTGGCAGCCAGAAATACACAGGGTTTTTATATCCTGAAAACATTGCAGGGCTGGGAAGCTGTATGTATGAAGCTGCTATGACTGGGGAACACACTGTGTGTTATATCTGATTGAAAATGTAACCATTTTTTTATGGAGGCTGTGTGAATTTTTTTTACAAGGGGAGTTGTGACTAGGGCTGCATAAACCGAAACAAAAGTGATTTAACTCTTAAGTGACAGAGAATAGAACAGTGAGACTGCATTGTGTGATCTATACACCCAAACTGTTAAATTAAACCAAAGTTAACCATTTAAAGGGCCACACTACGCACCAAAACCAATTAATCTTAATACATTGGGTTTTTGTGCTAAGATGTTGCTGTTTTATATCTGACAGTGTAATACATTGCGTTTTTGAGAAACAGCAGTTTTTACATTTGTCAAACTGACAGCCAGCAGTCTTCCTCAATAGAAGGTCTTTACATTTAGCATCATCAAACCCACTCAGTGTGAATGCATCCAATGCTTTTAAAGGCAGTTTTTGCTACTTATGCGCCACTATGAGAAGCACTGGATTGGATAAAACCCACCCTAACTAATGACTGCACTAGAGGCTGCACAGAGGAAACTGTCCTGATGCTGGAATACAGAGAAATGTTATGACTTGTCTCTTCCCCCTATTCTTTTGTGACATAAACTTTGTCAAGGATCTCCTGCTTACAAAAGCAAGACAGGCTTTGTTTTTATTACTATGTAGCAGTGATAACAAGTGCATACAGTGTCGAGGATGTCAATTACATATAACTTTTGTACCAATATGAATGCCTGTCTAGACACTAATTTCAACAAGCCTTGGAGAATATGATAATCTTTTAATTGTTCTTACTCCAACCACCATGACCACTTCACTGATTTGAAGTGGTTATGGTAGTAGGAGTTAGTAAATGCAGTGTTTCTGCTTGGAGCACTGCATATACTGAGATATTTGTAATTGTGTGCTGGTTGCTAGTTGTAAGGGGGTACCTTCTCCATATTGTCCAATAAATGCATTTTACACAGAAAAGGTCCCAAAGCTCCACAGGGTTAAAATAACTCTTTAATGATAGGTTTACTAATGAGATCTGGATATTTTCACATTCTGTAGTTTTAAAATCTCTAAGTATCTGAAGTATCCCATTTGTTTCCTAGACTAATACATGGGATTGGACGGTCAGGAGATATTTCTGCTGTCCAGCCAAAGGCTGCAGGCTCCAGTCTTTTGAATAAGCTAACAAATTCAATAGTTCTGGACATAATAAAGATGGCAGGTAGGTGGATTTAAAATCCAAGTATGTTTGATCATGGTGTGTAACTTTATAAGTAGTGATAACTTTTTGCTTTTCTAATTCTAGGTGTGCATTCGGTGTCCAGCTGTTTTGTGGTCCCCATGGCAACTGGAATGAGTTTAACTCTTTGCTTCTTAACTCTACGACATAAACGACCAAAGGCAAAATATATTATCTGGCCACGGATCGACCAGAAATCTTGTTTTAAATCAATGATCACAGCAGGTAAACCCAAAA